AACTCTGTTGTTCTATAAGTACTTAGTTTTTTTTCCTGTGATCTGTAATTTCTCCCCACTCACCCCAAGGTCATATCCAGAGTTGCCTGAATCCCTTTTTACCCCTTCTACCTAATGGACATGATTGGACAGAAAGAAAGTTGTTGCAAGTTTATAAATAAAGCACAACATATTTAATATATTCTTAAGTTTACGGTTAAGTGTACCATTCACATGCACCTGAAAAATTCAGAGATTAATTCTTCCATCAATGCCTTTTCACTTGCTTTATTAGTTTGATTATATAAATAAAATAAACTCTGCCACATATGCTAGCATTCCTCTTGTATATTTAAATTGTAATCAGTGATAAATCTGGAAATAATCAGCTAATGTATTATTGATGTCTCAAATTGCTTGCATTAATATGCACTGTTGCTTTGAATATTTGAATGACCCCAACTGTCACCCAGCTGTGTGAAGAAAGTAATGTATCCTAATAACATTAGGCAGTGCAAATGCCTCAATCTATAAGGAAGATTATTCTAGGTACATCAAAGTGTAGTTCTCCCTATTTCCTGTATGTCGTATGTGCTGAAACATGTCTCTCTGACTAAACTTGAGCATAATTGAATCGACGTAACTGTAACAACACAGTCCATTTTAATTTTAAAAAAATTCTTCCCACCTTTTAAAATAAAATAACTTGTGCATAAAAGGAAACTTTTTTAAAAAATAGAGCAATAAATATTTAAAATCAATTCAGACTCTCTGTTCCTTACATCCTGTACTCTTTCTCCTCTCTGCTTCATATATTCGTTTTTCCTCTTGCAGTCAGGGTCATTAATGTAATTTACTTGTACAATCTAACTCATTCTCCAAGTAGGTGGAGACATCATCCAGGCATGGGGTATGACTCTGTCAGGACCCAATACGACTGGGTCTACAAGTATTAAAGACACGCCCATGAGACTCCTCCCCAGAAATAGACTCAGTTGATCCTTCGATTAGCTGTGTCTCCGTATCCCTCCTTGCAAATTAATTCCTTTCTCTCTAAAATTCCTTCAAAATCTTTCCAAAAATTCTTCAATTGGTTTTCTCTCAAATTGTGATCAATTGGCACTACTCTTTTGCTCATTTAGGGCATTGCAGCCTCTAGGAGGCTTTTGCCTTTCTCTGCCTTGGCTGCTTCAGCAGCGAAGAGCGTTGGCGGCCAGCCTTATGATGCTTTCCCTCAGGCTCCCATCTCTCACCGTTGCCGCTCTGCCTGAAAAACGATCTCTCCCTGGCCTGTTATACACCAAAAGTATAGTTGAAATTTGTTGAACTCATTTTCTGTGTTCTTACAGACAGTTAAACACCTAGCAATTTGAACAAGCTGTTTGCTGTTTTTAACTTTGCTTTTAACTTTATTTTTTTTAGTGGCTTTGTCTTTGGTTTGTTCATGATTAAGGGCATTGTGCAAACTCTGAAAAGTTGGTTAATTCAGCAACCAAGTTGGATTTTCCCCTTGAGTATATTAACACAAGTTTGCATTGCATGCTAGCAACAATTTAGCCATATTGAAACCAGTGTGAAATTAAAACATTTCTTAGAAGTTTAATTAATTTTAAAAGGAACTACGAGCATTTAATTTTGTCTGGCTCTAAGCTAATATTTTTAAATGAATAAATCTATAATTGACAAACGTGGTGTAAAGTCTCTAAAAGTATTAAGAAATGGAGCTGGGAAAATATAGAAATCTTATTTATTTTATTTTATTTATTGGAATTTGTCAAACAAAAATGAGAACAAGAATAGGAAAATTAAAATACAATGACAGGGACAATAGGCACGTTACTGTATTTATGCACACACCCCCTCTACTCACCACTTAAGTATGAAATACGCTCCACGGAAGTCAATTTATGACAGAAACTGAAAATTTGTAGCTGAGATAAGGTTGGGAATTCCAGACTTTGACAATTCTATTACAGAAATCATGTATTTTACAGTCAGGTTTAGAACGATTTACATTGGGTCTAAAGCAGTTGCTCGTATGCATATTATTGCGATTAAAACAGAAAAAGTCATTTACAGGTAAAACATTACTACTTATAATTTTGTATGCAATACCTAGGTCTGACCACAAGTGACACAATTCTAAATTATCCAAACTGAGCATTTTGAGCCTAGTAGCATATTGTGAACAGAAGTGTGCAAGACTTTTCTTGTAAAGAACTTCTGAACCCACTCGATTGTACTGATATCAGATATTTTGTGGAAATTCCAAACAGTTGAATAATACTCTAAAATTGGTCTAACATGTTTTATAACCTCTCATTAGCAATACAATGTTTCCAGAAAAAAAGCTTCACAAAATTAAGTTAACAGCTCTTAATGCTTTTTTTAGCAACACTGTTACAATGAGCTTTGGAGCATAGATTGCCAGAGATAAGTACACCTGGGTCCTTAACAAAGTGAAGATCATCTGCTAGATCATTGCCACCTAGCTTATACTTGGCATTCTGATTATGTTTACCAATATGTAAGACAGAGCATTTATTAATCAAAATTTGAAGTTGCCAAATAGATGTCCGTCCAGACACCTAGTTGAGATCACTTTGCAAAACAACAGAATTATGTACAGAATTGAATAATTTTATGTCATCTAAGTAATTTAAGAGTAGAAAGAGATAACATACTGTGTAATTTTGCTTGGAAGGGTCAAGGACAAACTTTTATTAGGATTCCTGGATACTGGCTGCATTGAGGATTTTAAAATTGTTGGGGAGTTAGGGAATTATAGGCTATGAAGGAAACTGAGTTCATGAGATTTGGTTGCTTTCTCCAGCAGAAGCATTTCCCCAAGTTTCGGCATTGAGACTTATTTTTTTATGGTTGGTTTACAAAAGAGAAATGTATCTGAAATATAAATTTGAATATAACTAAACATAAATTAGAAGAGACCAATGAAATTTGACTCTGTTCAGGGGATATGTTAATTGAAGCACCTCTATCTGTTGAGTTTCTCCTCTTGGGCGAACAAGTGAATGGACATTCTACTTCTCCCTTAGTAATTAATAATATTGTTAAAGCACTTTAAATTTTTTAGTCAACTAAAATGGCTACCAACTCACAAATTTTGATTCCCAGCAGCTGTCATAGCATTTAAAAACAGTAAACAAAATAACCGATGAACATAAAAAACACACACACAAAATATGACACAGTATAACCTTTCCTAACATGTTGTGGTCAATCATCACAGCAGCCTAAGCAGGTGAGAAGGAGGCATGGGAGTCAGGTCCAGCATCAAGGCAATCGGAGAGCTCCAAGGGGGAAGAGGGAATGGACGTGCCAGAGATAGAGGTTGAGCCTGGGCTGTCCATCAGCCCTCAGATGGAGAGTCAACAGTCAAGGCCTGGAGGTGGCTGATGAGGAAGGGAACAACTGGGTCCGGTGCCTGATTTTTGGATGCACAGAAGACAAGAGGAGAGGAGAGCAATGGAAATCTATGGGCCAATCTTTGGGATGGAAGTGCTACCATTGCTAGCAAAGCTCCACCCTAGCTCTGGGGATAAAAGGCGGGAGGCAGAGCTGAATAGTTGTGGGAGACAACTATTCATCTCCCTGCTGGTCAGACTTGTTACCTATGTGTGTGTGTGTTTGTGTGTGTGAGAGAGAGATAGAGACATAGAGAGAGAGACAGAGAAAGACAGACACAGAGAGAGAGACAGAGAGACTTTTTGCCGGGGCAGCTGGCATTCCTAATAAAGGTCATATTTATTTAACTACACAGGGTTTCTCGTGTTTGGGAGCTGGGTGAGAACATAACATCTAAACAGAATTTGCTTTTCTGTAACTTAAATCGGGGGTCCCCAACCCCCAGGTCATGACCTACTACTGGGGCCTGAGTCCTTCAGAACTGGTCTGCAGAAGTGCCAGGCAAGAGCATGCCCACTTCTTGAACACATCCTCCACTTGTCCAAGCAGCCAGCAAGCATGGATTTGCATACTCCATTTGCATGAGTGGCGGGTGCGTTGTCCACTGCTTCTGCAAATAGAGCTGTGCGCACTTATCCGCTGCTTGCCAGGAACCATCCCTTCTCCCTGTCCCAACCAGGGCTGCAAAGCTGGAAAGGTTTATTACTTAGATCATAATTCTCAAATCCATTATTTTCAGAATAGAATTTCTTTTTCTAAAGTGACATGTACATATTATGATCCAAGTAACATGTTATAAAAATGAATAAATAGAAATGTGTCTCACACACAGTAATTGTATCAACACCTCACTGCTACAACAAACTGGGTTGTGCAGCAATTTCAATGAGAAGGCAAAATGCTGCTTCAGAATCAATGTTCCCTCTAATTTTTTTTCAGCGTGTGCGGAAAAGCATAGTGTTTGAGCAGCACATTTTCATGCCTGAGCACTTGACTTTTTTTAGCCATTTATTGGCCTCTTTACTGAAAATATATCATATTCACATTATTTTAATTAAGAAAAAGTTACCTAACGTTAAAAAAAAGTTTTCAAAATGTTTACAGATTGATTGATTTTCTCTATTATCTTTACATGAATTGTAGTCAAGTTGATTATTCTATGGTTACCTGGATTGTCCCTTTTCCCCTGGCTGAAAATAGTGTACCTGGCACATCTTCCACTCTATAGGAGTTCTCAATAATTTAGGCATCTCTTCTGATATGACTAGGAAGAGGGGAAATGAAATAAAAAATACTTAATGCACAGAAGCCATAGAAATGATTAGTGATAGTACATAGCACCTATGAATTCTTTCACACACATTACAAATCATTTGAGTGGGTTTTGTGCTGACAAACATTCTTGCACTCATCCTATAAAATGTCTACTGTACAGTTAATTTATGGTAATCACTTTGAACTGTGATCTGAGACAGCTGATTTTAAAGGACAGTGGGGACACTTTAACATTAGGATGGGGTGTATACTTTTTTGTAAATTCTAAGTGCACCTTGAGAGCAATTGCCTATCTAATAATAGCTTATGTTTTGTTCCAGAACTTTAGGCCTATTGGTAAAGAGACTGGAGAAAGGTGGTAAAGCGGAACAAGAAAATCTTTTTCATGAAAATGACTGCATTGTTAAAATTAACGATGGGGACCTTCGAAATAGAAGATTTGAGCAGTAAGTGCATAATATTTATCCGTGTGTCATGTTTGTGTTTTTCTTGACCTCGAACTCCAAGGTAGAAGCAATTTATAAAGGAAAAACAATTTTCTACAAGGCTTTGCTTTCACTGGATCATTTTGCTTTGGTCTTTTCTCTACTATGGCTATTATCTTCAGTGTATCAACTTGTATATAAGAAAAGGAAAGCATTGTTTTGGTTAATCATTATGTTTACTTGTTAAAGAAAATGTGCAATTTTGTATTCAAAATATACTTATGTTATCTACTAAGTGCCATAATCAGTAAAACTAGAATAGAATGCAAGTTTAGAAGAGCATTGGAGCTTGACAGGAACCAATATTCTCTCCCCCCCACCCCAAATCCTGGTAAAATGTTATAGTTGGCTTGGATATTTTAATGAAAATTAAAGTAAATGAAAAAAATAGGGTGCTATCCAACAAAAAGAAATTCAATGGTGAAAAAAAGTAAGGTTCTACATTTAGGCGAGGAAAAACAAAATGCACAGGTACAATATATATGGTACCTTGCTCAATAGTGGTGACTGTGAGAGGGATCTTGGAGTCCTAGTGGACAATCACTTAAACATGGATTCCAAGATCCCTTGTGGATAATCACTTAAATATGAGCCAGCAGTATGTTGCAGCTGCCAAAATAGCCAACACAGTTTTAGTATGCATAAACAGAGGGATAGAATCAAGATCTACTTTAGAATGCCTTGATAAGGCCATACTTGGAATACTGCGATCCAGTTTCGGTCGCCACAAAAGATGTGGAGACTCTAGAAAGAGTGCAGAGAAGAGCAACAAAGATGATTAGGGAGGATAAAACATATAAAGAACGGTTGCTGGAACTGGATATGTCTAGTTTTATGAAAAGAAGGACTAGGGTTGGCATGATAGCAATGTTCCGATATCGCTGGGGCTGCAACAAAAAGAGAGTCAAGCTGTTCTCCAAAGCTCCTGAGGGTAGAACAGAAGCAATGGGTGGAAACTAATCAAGGAGAGAAGCAACCTAGAACTAAGGAGAAATTTCCTCACAATTTTGAACAATTAAATAATAGAACAACTTGCCTCCAGAAGTTGTAAATCCTCCAACACTGGAAGTTTTTAAGAAGAGATTAGATAACCATTTGTCTGAAATGGTGTAGGGTTTCCTGCCTAAGCAGGAGGTTGGATTAGAAGACCTCTAAGGTCTCTTCCAATTCTGTTATTATATTCTATTCTAAATGCATAGTTTATTAGTTAATGCACACTTTTAAAAGAAGAAATAGTGTTTTTGTGTGATCAGATTATGTTGCAAAGAAAACTAAACAATTATCGTCCTTATAAGGGGTAGACATAAAAGCTTTCCCCATTTTGACAGCTTTTTTGTGTTCTAGAATTTTTCCAAATATAGAGCATATGTTTTATAAAACAGAGAATTCTAGTTTGTATTCAGAATCTCTCATGAGTACAGTATTATGAATTGTTGCTCAAAACAGTGGATTTTTTTGCATGCGTATTTTGCAATAACACTAGTACATAAACATATAGAGTTTACTGTTGTAGCCTATGCTAAACTCTTGAGTGGATCTTGGGATCACTGTTCCACATACTATTTTTCAGTTATATGAGATCTACAATCTTCTGGAAGAAAAAAAAAGATGTACAGGCTTATTCAAATAATACCTTCTAATCACTATTGCATACAAATTTATGTCACTTAGCACAACTGATTCAGAAAGAATCATTGAAATAATGGAAAAATCATCTTATATGGCTTGTGATTCTGAATAAACTGAAAATGGTAGCTTTACAGTTTAATACATTATTTTGAAATATGCTGGATGGACATCATGCAGAGTAACTCCATATGTTTGTTGATTAACAGTATTTTGTTTTAAATATCTTGGTGAGAAGAATTGTCAAAATTGCAGTTTTATGCTATTTTTTAACATTACAACCAGGATCTCAAGAATTATAACACGGTTATTTTAGCTAGTAGAAATAGAAAAAAATAGTCCTAAGAAGAACATAATTGAGAAACAAAAGGCATTTGTGAATAGATCATTCCAAGAAATATCATTTTGAGTTTACAGTTCAGTTAGAACAATATGTCTGTCATTTTATAATGTCTAATTAACATCAGTAATTATGCTTGTAATATCTACTAGTCTGCCAGTCTTAATTTGTTAATTTTCCATTCGTTTTAAAACCTAGAGCACAGCATATGTTCCGTCAAGCCATGCGTACACCCATCATTTGGTTCCACGTGGTTCCTGCTGCAAGAAAACAACAATATATAAAGCTGTCCCAAAGTGAAAAGAATGCTTACCATTCCAGCCGTTTTAGTCCTGATTCTCAGTATCAAGACAGTAAGGGTATTGACCACTCTGGACTTCACACTTTACAAAAAATACCCCAAGTGAGCAATCAAGGTGATGCGTTGGACTCTTACTCACAACTACCTCATAATGTGAATTCAGGAAAACCACCTTTGGGTCTGTCATCAACACCACAGAAAGTTCATACGGCTTTGAACTCTGGCTATAATACCAAAAGGATAGGGAAGCGTCTTAAAATACAGTTAAGGAAAGGTAAGTTTATTGTTTCTGTATTTACATTTATGGGACGGATACAAGTATATATTGACAGAGATAATCTTAGGACCTAGAATTTCCCAATAGAGGAAAAGTTGAAAATGGTCAATTTTCTAACTCCCCTAAACAAGAGAAAATGAAAGGAAGGTTTTTTTTCAACCTGAGAAGGACAGAAGAAGTAGGCAGTGAGCTAAGAGAATGTAAGAAGATATTGCAACTTCTACTGACTAGCAATAATTAGCTATTTAGTGGTTTCTAACTTGGCATATTAATAATGATTACTTACTAGCTGTACTGTGTTGATTGACTGGAACATTTCAGCCAAGTTCAAGTGCCATTTTATACATTAACAAGACTTTTTTTGCATAGCTGTCACAGGGGGCTTTTATTATGCTTTAATTATGATCTAATTAAAGATCATTGTATTCTTTCTTTCATGCAGACTTATCTTTTTTCTTGTGAGCAACCAGGCTTCTCTTTTCTAGTTCCTGAATGTTAAGCTAAACAAACTTGAATGATATAAAGTTGAGTTGGAGTGTGCTTATGTGCTTGCGTGCATGCATAAACGTGTGGGTGTGTGGGTGTGTGTGTGTGTGGCATTTGTGCTGATAAATAAATAAAGGGAGACTAGTATAGATCTATTTCAAGCTATTTAGCTCTCATCAGCTAGCCATATCCTTATTGGGAATTGAACTAGCTGATGAGATCTAAATAGCTTGAAATAGGTCTATACTAGTCTCCCTTTATTTATCAGCACAAATGCAACATAAATGTAACAAAAGCAACATTAAAAATGGCTTTCTGCCTGGATGGCTCCTAGGGTGATCCGAAAGACAGAAAAGGGAAGCAGTATGCTCCCTCCCAGATTTGGGCGTGTAAGAATCTTAAACGGAAAAAGATCCAAATACAACAAGACCAGCATACATACACCCGTGAAAATCTACGAGAAAACACACACAAACACACACACATACCAGTGGTGGTTTCCGGGTGTGCACCATGTGCATGCAGTGTGTGTGTGTGTACCCACCACCCGTGACACTCCAGCTACTCGGTGGAGCATTGCACAGGTGCCGTATGCTCCATGTACAGGTGCAAATGCCCCGGTCAGCTCATATAGAGGTAAGGAGAGCGCGTGGGTGGGCCCTCCAGAGCACTGTACCGGAACTGTACCTGGTGCTCCCAGCAGGCACCGGTATACCCATACCGGGGTGTATCGGTCGTATTCCCCCCACACTATATTTTATTATATACATTGTATATAATTAATATTATATACATTGTGTGTGTGTGTGTGTGTATGCCTGTTTGTGTATGTGTATGTGTATGTATATATATATATATATATATATATATAGCTATTGATTGTGTACAAAATTACTTAAGGTCACCAGTTTAATATGATATCATCGTGGTTGGAGAAACATCATTCCTAACTGAATGAATAATCCTGTTACAATTATAAATTTAGTCACTATGGAGATTTACCAGTTTTTCAGCTGTAATAGATAAGGAGAAAGTCAATTAAAACACTGCAGGGACATTGTGCAAGATTCTGATTTTCAATAATTGAAATCCCAATCTTGTAATTTATATAATTGCAACAGAAATTTAAACTTAGTAATGGACTAAACACATTTTACATCTCTTGAGTATACATAACTGTAGTACAAATAGATGTGGAGCAGTGTAGAACTTCATTAAATTAAATGAGGCCAGCCTTTGAAGACTTCAATAGCCAATTTAGAATAAGTTACTGAACTACTCTCTAACTAGGGCCAGTCCTAATAAAAACATGCCAGATTTGAAGAAACCACAGTGCAGATGACCAGTTTCTTGATATTGTTTTAATAGCTGATAAATATATTTCAACATCTTTTGTGACATATATGTTTTGACATATATTGATGTTTATATCTACCATATATTATGATACCAGCAAAGATCTTTTTTCCGGTGCTTGCTTTATGAGTTAGATGGGTAAAACCATGGAAAAGTGTTTTGAAAATAAACGTACTCTTCAGAGATCCATTCAGTTACATTTTTTTCTTTATTACATTGTCACACAATTTTGTCATCCATGCTCAGTTCTGATCAATTTAATTTTACTAAACTTTAATTCACACAGTCTATACCAGTGATGGCGAACCTTTTTGGCACTGGTTACCAAAAAGGGAGTGTGCGTGCGGCACCAAGTGCCTAAAATTGAGCACTTCACGCACTTTCTTCACTCTTTGTGCGCACACTCTGGGCTGCAACCAGAAAAAGGAGCTGCCCAGGGGGCATGTGCACGCAAGAAAATGAACTTCCAGTTTGTGGCACGGACACACACTGGCACACACAGCAAAACCTCCTGTCAATGCCGTGCATGCTCACATGCTGATCAGCTGGCCGGCGCACTTACTCATGCCAGAAAACGGAAGACCACTTCCTCCCGTTTCCAGCACTGCTTCACGCACAAAAGTAATGCACGCCAAAATCTCGGAAGGGGAACGGGCGATGCCATGCATGCCAGGCGACATGTCTCCACGTGTCACTTCGGGAATGTGTGCCATAGGTTCACCATCACGGGTCTATACAGAATCAACTATATGTAATCTTTAAATTAAAGATTCCCCTCATTCTGTATCTGGTAGTGCAATTGAAAGAACTGCTCATTGGTCAGTTCATTCATTCTTTCATTTGATTGAAACAAACAATATGTTAAACAGTTAATGGTATTTATGTAGTTACTTACCAAGCACATCTTAATTATATTAAAGTAACCAAAATATATTTACGATCCCCAAGGATAGGCACAACTTTTGAGCACCCCTAATATTGAGCAACCCTGAATGCTTCTGGGCAGTTGCAAATATTTTAAACAAAATCCCAAAAACATCAGCCTATGCGCTGCTTGCAACCCTACCAAGCAGCATTGTGTGGGTTTTTTTTTTAAGTCAATACATTCACCAGCATTGCCCTGAAAGCTGTCTTGCTGATTGTCTTCAATGCCTCCAGCTGTTGCTGTTTTGTAGCCATTAAACAGTTGATTGGTGTCCCAGATATTTCTTTGAGACCGGCAGGGATTTTCCATTGATCAGTACACCCATTTCTCTCCTATATGTTGTGCAGGCCTGATCTAGAACATAACTGCAGGGTTGTATATTATACAACTTAGCAATCAGAATGTGCGATGCGAGTAAATACTTTCACTCTTTATAGCAGCTGGTCCCCTTCCAACGTAGCTAAAGTTCATTCTCTGTAGAAATATGCCCTGTGCCATAATTCTCATTTGATTGCACTAAAAAAAAAAACAACTACATGTGGTATCACAAATGAAGAATAGTCTTACTTAAAATAGCCCAAAGTGAACAGTTGATCATCATCTTTTTTTAATAAAGGATATCATAATACAACAGACCTTAAGGAAGCCTGACCTGTTATTTAACTAGTAGCAGTTACTTTACCATCATTAGGTTAAAATGTCCTTGTTTTTGTATCTATGTATTTTATATGGAGGGAGGGGAGAGACAGAGGGGGGGGGGAGGGCAGAGAAAGTGGGAATGAGAATTGTCATCTTGAAATTCTTTTCATATTTAACCATTCAATTTCAAACTGTTATGTAAAGAGAAGTATACTTAGTATGCTGTATAAGAGTCCTTATTAAAGCTCTATTTTTGCAAGCTGTAGAAGCTGTATTGTCTAAAATGACAAAATGGGATACTCTTGCAATAATTGTGCTTACTTCCATTATAATTTCTTAATATTTATTGCCATTTTGGCATTTTCAAATAACCTGATCTTTCCTAGGAATTAGTTATTTAATAAAGTTAGAAGAGAAGGTCAGTAATATGCTTCTGTCAATGGAGAATGTTTGTTGGCTTTTTCTAAATGAAAATTGATATCTATTTATCTTTTGTTAAAGGTCGGGCCTTGAACATCTAGCATACAGATTTAGCAGTTATTGGTGATGTTCTAATATGACTGGGATTTTGCAGTTCTGCCAGTCTTTGTAGCTCATATAATTTAAGGTCAATTCTTGCAGACACTTCCACAAGTGCAATGCTTTCCTTATATACTACAGTATTGAACCCATAGATCTTAAAACATCACGCATGAAGTGGATTGAGACTGATGTAAAAATGAGTCCGTGTCAATCATTTTGAGTGGCATTGTGAACACTGAATGTAACATAAAGCACAGCATGAAAGAGAGAAAGATGTGGGGGATGGAGAAACACGTTGGACAATGCAATAGTACCAAAAAGTATACTTTTGGCCATATGTAGATCTTTAAAATTGCTAGAGTTTTGGGAAATGTATTTGTAAATTATTTATTTCATTCTTTACATTTATTATAACCACCCACTCCAGCAGATCCACTACTTGTTCGTGAACAAAGAGACATAATCATATGGCTGATGTTTGCATATTTAAAACTTCATATACTGTACCAGAAAACATATGAGAAGTAGTTTCACATCTAAGACCCATAAAGGATTATCTGTATTAATCTTTTCCCATCAAGCAGGTGGCATTTTATAAACTGCAGTGCTGAGCTTAGTGGTAAAAATAAGTAGCTATATTGTTGTAGTATTTAAGCAGGGTGAAAATGGTCCATCTTTCCAGTTAAAGGACCATTTCTGATTGCATTTCTAGAGGACATATCCTTTGAAAGGCATTGTACAGAATGGCTCATATTCTCTCAACAATTCCAGCAAATACTTGTGTAATTATTTTGATTGCACATGCAGCTGCAGAACTTTCATTTTCAGATGACCAGTTCAAGATTCTAACTGGTCATTTTCAGACACAATTATTGTGATTGCCTACATGCAATTCCAAAATGTGGATCACCAGTAAAAAAAGGATTTGAAAAGCACAGCATCTTAGTAGTTTTGCAAAGGGTGTAATTAAAGAAAACATTTACTGAGCCTTGATCCATGTGATATTGCAAAACTTCCCTGAATAATGGTTTGCATATAATGGACTTCTAATGAAACATAGTAAACAATG